TAAATAAAAGCTTAAATCTGCTGCAATTGCTTAAACCAGAACTCTGTCACTTTAGTGCTGCTGAAGCAAAGCTGGCCTTGATGAGATGATTTCCTGAGGCACCTGGAACCCAACTGCCCCATCGGTGCAAAATTGAGCTCTGTGGAGTGGTTTTCCCCCTTAGGGACAAAGCATCTTTGTATGGGGCTGGTAGCAGGGGTTGAGATAAGTGAAGAATGCACACATTGTCCTCAAAGGGGCTGCAAGAACAGCTCTTTGTTATCATCTAGCCCTTGGAAAGCCAGACAGGGATCTGAAGAGCACTGGGTATGATAAATATCCATCATAAACATGACAGGCTGTTCCCTTCTTCAGACAGGTAAAAGCAAACACAGGTCTGTGGGTGCAGCTGTGTTCTGATACAGACATGGGAAGATTGCACCAAAGGGCGAAGGCGTTGGCACTCAGTGCCTCTTGCCTTGAACACTGTTGTTACTATTCTATATCAAACTATCGTGTTATTATTCCAAACCATTCTATGGTTATTCAGGCAGTGATTTCTGATGCGTTCTGCCTTTGTTGTAGGGATCCATTTTCTGTTAATTTAGGGGGAGGGAGGTGCTTTCTGAGCATACTAATTTGAACAACTAAACTGCCTATTTTTTCCTATGAAACCCATGGATGTGTAACAAGGAATGTGACAGTATCCAATTGAAAAGATGCTTGATTTGCAAAGAATAAGGCGTCAGAGATGTGAACCAAACCTTCTTGCAACCCAGGTTTCCCAAGCGTGAGCCCAGCACTGGCCTGGCCAGAGCAGGAGCAGGGATTTTGGTGCTGGAGCACTCTCTTGCCACCAGCCACTTGGCACAGGGCTTGTAAAACTGCAGATGTGGTTCTGTGCAGATCAGGGGGTCGATGTGCACAAGCAAAGTGTGAATTCCTCATGGGCAAAAGGGTTTGTTTTCTTCCAAACTGGCAAATTGCAATTCTTATTCTGATGGTGTTTTCCTGGTGACTCAGGGAGACTGGGGGAGGCAGGAGGGAAAGCATGAAGAAGGGGTTCCTGTCTGCCCTAGGAAATGAGTTAACTTTAATGCTATGCAGATCTGCACTGCTGTCATCTAAGAAAGTCATCTAAGGCTGCATCAGCCCCTCTGCTACTGTTGCTTAAAGCCTGTTGGGGAAATAGAGGCACATGGTGATGTTGGTCCAGAATTGTGCAGAGGGGGATTTGGGATGCAACAACTTGTACTAATCCATGGGCATAGCCTGAAGGTCCAGTAGTGATTTTGAATGAACAGTTTGGGGAGGGGAAGGGTGAAATACGGTCACCCCAGGCTCAGGTTGGAGGTGCATAGGAGCACATCGTGCACCGGGAGCACGCAAATGTGGTTCATGACAAGCATCAAGTGATGCACGAAGTCCGTAGGCTGCCACAGACACCTCATGTCTTTCTGTTCAGTATCTACTGCAGTGTCAGTGCTCAGTGATTTCATTACTTAATATTAAAGAGACAGACATAGGAGGAGAGAATCTTACCTCTCTTTTTTGCCCTTAACTCACTACACATTCGCCTCTCATCCATCGTATATCAGATGAAGAATGTTTAGGTTGGTTTTGGCACCTGCCTGCTTTATCCCTTGTGAGTGAGATGCTGCCAAGTTTCAACCATGCACCCCTGTCACTAACCTTTTACATCGGCATCTTCGTCTCCTGGTTTCTACAATAAGGAAGAAAACGTGTCAGTTCAAAGACACCAAATCACAGCTCAGCAGAGAAACGCTGCAGCGAGGTAGGGCTGGCATTCCCCAGCAGCTTGCTGTCTTTAAGACGTATAAAGATGAATAAACCCAGCTTATTTTGGAGGAAAGCTGTGCGAGGGAGCAGTGCTGCAGCTCACATTTCCCCAGCGGTCCCAGAGTATCTTAATGAATCAGGTTTTCACACAAGTCGCAGCAGCAGCAGCCTGGCGACACTGACACTGAATTAGATTCACTTGCTGTCTCCAGCAACTTTGGCATGTTGCTGAAAACCCATTAGCAGCAATTAATTCCTGGTGAGAATGATGCCAACTCTTCCCTGGTTTGGCATCTAGGTGGTTACTTTGGGATGTATTCAGCAAAATACAATGCCTGGACGTTCATTTTTAGTATGAGGGAAATATCTGCCCTTGAGGGCTTGTGCTGCAGAGATGAACTGCAGCTCGTGGCTTTTCACTGAGCATTCACATCAGCATTAAAAGGCAGAAATAAATCACTGAGTGGTGTTTGTAGGTTAACTGGGGAACCCTGGTGAGTTCAGAGGGAATTGGCACCAACTACGGGCGCTCTGCTGCTGCCTCAGCCATTTCCCTCAGAAGAATGATGTTCTGCTGTGGTTCATCAGTGTTTTTTCCTGCATTCCTTCCTCTTGCTGCAGGCCGGGGTGCTGGGTAGTTTGCAGGGCTCTGGGATGCTGAAAAACTACTTTTCAGCCTTCCAATACCTAAAGGGGCTCCAGGAAACCTGGAGAGGGGCTTTGGACAAGGGTCTGTAGGGACAGGACAAGGGGAATGTCTTTAACCTGCCAGAGGGGAGATTGAGATGAGCTCTTGGGCAGAAGCTCTTCCCTGTGAGGGTGCTGAGGCGCTGGCACAGGGTGCCCACAGAAGCTGTGGCTGCCCCATCCCTGGCAGTGTTCAAGGCCAGGTTGGACACAGGGGCTTGGAGCAACCTGCTCTAGTGGAAGGTGTCCCTGCCTGTGGCAGGGGTTGGAAGTGGAGGAGCTTTAAGGTCCCTCAACCCAAACCAGTCTGGGATTCTGTGCTATTTCAAACTGTCTCTGGTAAATTCATCTCACGTCAGCTCCAGGCTGTGGGGTCAGTGAGGATCCAGCTGGGTTCCAGTGACGTTCCAGGCAAACAAGCTGAGCTGGTTTAGTGGAATCAGTGCAACTTCTGGGGGTATCACAAAGTTGAACTGATTTCAGTGAGTGTTAAACTGATTTAACACATTTGCACTCGCTGCTTGCTCAGGGTAGTTAAACATGAAATTTCACCAAAGGACTTTTGCCTACTCAGAGATTTTGTGTTACTGCTTTAAGCAGGGCAGCCTCTGAACCTGTGCCATTGAGTTGCTTGTTTGGTTACAGCTCAAGCTGCTGGTGGGGTGTTTGACTTCACAAGCTGTGTGCCAGAGCATGTTTATCCTGTTCTGTCAAAGTGTTTCAGGTTCTGGTACTTTTACCCTCTGATACACCCATTTAAGGATGGTAGAGCCAATACAGTTTGATAGAGTTAATTTCTCTACTTATAATCTATTTTTCTTCCTTAAAGGTCTTTTCTGACCTAAATCATAGAATCATAGACTGGTTTGGGCTGGAAAGGACCTTAAGATCATCCAGTTCCAACCCCCTGCCATGGGCAGGGACACCTCACACCAGACCATGTCACCCAAGGCTCTGTCCAACCTGGCCTTGAACACTGCCAGGGATGGAGCATTCACCACTTCTCTGGGCAGCTTGTTCCAGCACCTCAGCACCCTCACAGTAAAGAACTTCTTCCTTGTATCCAACCTGAACTGCCCCTGTTTAAGTCTGAACCCATCACCCCTTGTCCTATCACTACAGTCCCTATTATTCTATTATTCTAAGTTAATAGTTATTTCACAGCCTAAGCCTACTGGTGAGGATAATGCAATGATTTTAGCAGTGGTCCTTCTCTTGGGTGGACTGTCCTGGTTATCTGGTGCCTGTGCAAAGGGGATAGTTGGAAGATCTCTTCCCCCGAGGGCCAGGGCTGCACTTTCAGGCTGGAGGGTTATCTACAGCGGGTTATATGGGTGACTCTTACGTTGGCACAGCATGATGGTGACTGTCAGGGCGACGAGGAGCAGGAAGCAGGCGACTGTCAAGGGAACCCAGATGAAGATGTCACATAAGAAATCCAGCTCTTTCTTCTTGCTGGTCTCTGCAGGAAGAGAGAAGAGGGAAGGTCCACCACATGCTGGTGGAGCCAGGGGACGTGCCTGGTGTTCAGCAAGGCTGGTGGTGAAGCAGAGGGTTCCCCCTGGACCACCAGTGACCTCCGCAAGTGCATCAGTTCCTGCTGCTCGTTTACACTGATCATTTTCATCAGCATTGAAAGGCAGGAATAAACCATTGAGTGGTGTTTGTAAGTTAACTGGGGAATCCTGGTGACTTCAGAGGGATCTGGCACAGCATTTCCCTGGGGTGTTCCTGCGTCTCCTGCTGAGTCTAAACCCATCCCAACCCTCCCTCCACCTCTTCCCAGTGTGCCCAGGCGTGAGACACACTCATGCTTCTTACATCATCCTTCACCTTTCCCACATGGAACGAAATGCTGGAGTTTAATCCTTCCAACTCTGCTAAAGCTCCAAGGGTTTTCACGCTCCCCACATCCCAGAGTGCCTCCAGGACCCCCCTCGGTATCAGTGGACCAGAGCCCAATTCTTCCCCTCTCCCTTCATGCAGCAGGACTACCTGGATCCGGGCTTTTCAGGCAGGGGTCCCTTTTGGTGGTGCCATTCTGGACAGTGGGTGCTGGGGTGGTGGGTGCCACTGTGGTGGTGACTGTCAGTGAAAATGGATGGATACAGCATGTAGAACACAGAAAACAGCTCCCTCCTGCCCTCGTGCTCTCCCACCCCTGCCAGGGCACAGATGCTCAGGTCCGAGGGGACCTCACAGAGCCCATGTTGGGTCGTGACTCCCCCAAGACCCAGTAAGGAGCTGCAGGCTCTTTATTTCTTACTCTCTGTTGGTGGAGGACTTTGCTTTAGTCTTATCCCTTAAGAGCCATGAATGGGATGGAGAAGCAGGGATGGGGTGATGCTGTGTCTGCCCCATCACCTTGCCTTTGGCCAGGAGAAGGCAAGCAGGGAGCCTCTGGGTGCACTGGTTATGAAACGCCTTGGGCAAGCAAGCACAGACAGTGGGGTCTGTGGGAGAGGTGACTGATTACAAAAGGCAGGGCAGGAGGTGCTGGGCATTTGGGCAGAGCTAAGCGATGTTGGGTGGAAGTGTTGCTGACCTGGAAGGAAGACAGACCGGCCAGGGCTGAAGTACAGCACTTGGTTGCTGTTGATGAGGCAGTAATAGTTCCCCTCGTCCTGTGGCATGAAGGACTTCACTACCAACCAGTAGAACATGCTGTCTTTCCCTGCCACAAAGCGTATGGATGTCCTCATGTTCCCCACAAAGGTGGTCCGGGAAAGGGAAGAGATGAAGACGATGAAGCGAAGGGTCCCAGCCTTGTCCTGGTGGATCCAGAATACGCCACTGTCCTTGTTGCTGCTCTGACACTGCAGGTTCAGTCGCTGTCCCATCCGGGGCTGCGTGATGCTGTGAACCTTCAGCTCATACCACTGACCAAGGATCTCAGGACAGCCTGTGGGAGAGGAATCCCTGTGGGAACTGCTCAGGAAGAGCCGTATCCCCTCCGGACAAACCTCATTGCCTGTCCATGGGGCGTGAAGTCAAATGCAAAGGAAGGACCACGATGACTTGAAGGTTCTATTGGAGTCCTTACTGGGATTGTGCGTGGAGGGTGCTCAGCGATCAGCCACCCAGACTTTAAAGGTGGGTGCTGCTCTTCAGCTGCCTTCTCAGGGATGTTACCCCTTCCCAGCTTACCCAAAGTGACTCCTTAAAAACACTGACTGCTAAATCCCGCTTTTTCCCATTCCCCCTCCCCTCCAGAACCACATATCCAACCGGGCTCCCTTTCCAGCACGTTTGATGCCGCAGCCACCCATCCAGCTGTGCCACCTTCGCAATTACTGAGCAAACCTCAAAGTCACCCTTTTTGGTTTGCTTTTTATGTTCCCTTTAACAATTTAGCCCAATTTCCTGGAATCAGTGGCAGGGATTTACTTGCCCATCCCAGTGAAGGTGATGCTCAACCCCATAGTGCCCATACTCACAGAGCCCCAGGGCGAGCAGCAGGAGCAGCGCAGGAGCCCCGGTCATCTTCTCCTTGGGGACGGTGCAGCGGAGCAGAGATGATCTTTCTCGCTCGGCTTGGGTGAGCTGCGTTGCAATTTGGGGAGGATGTGATGTCACCAGGACCCTCTTGGGTGTTGTTCAGCATCTGTGGCAAAAAAGGGAGAAAAAAGGATTCCTGAAGAAATCCAGTTCTAATCCAGAGGCTGGGTTCATTTATCGCTATCAGTTCTTGACGGTGCCACAAGGATTTTGCCTCAATGACTTCCCCGGAGATCCACACTGATGATGCTCACGCTTGAGGTAGGATCAGCGCCTGCAGCTTGCTGTGTCCCAGCCTTCTGGGGGTTCACAGCAGCTCCAGCTCCACACAAGTGATGGACAAGCCCAATACTTCGGCTGCAGGCCCCAGGTTGCAAGGGACTCTGCTGCCTTCGCTTGTGCACACCCTAAGGGTCTCATGTGGATGACAAAGCACACCCAAAACATGAGTGTTTCATGGCATGTATCCATACGTGTTGTTTACCCCCAAGCACACGTGTTGCTGCCCCACAGCTGAGCTCTTCAGGTGCTGGGTTGTTCTCTTTGCAATCCCTCTTTGCAGTTGCTCTGCAGAAGCCACTTAGCACAAGGCAGGTGGTCTGTGATGTGAAACCCATCGAGAAAGCCCCAGGGTTGTGTTTTTGGCATCTTGTGGTTTTCCTCTCGAACCACAGGGTCTTCCGCCCTGCCAACAAACCCCAGTGTGCTCCCACGGGGAGGGCCCTTCCTGCCTCCAGGTGACCACTCGCGTGTGGGTACGGGCGATGCTTCCCGGAGCTTTGCACATACACCAGCAACTGCGAGGCTGGTGGGCTGCTGTGTTATAGATATTCTTCTTACTGGCATTTCTTGGCTTTCCTGTTGGTTGTTTTTCTGTGGGAGGTGTTTTTCTATGACTCCGTTGCAAAGAAATACCCCTTTTGCCTGGGTATGTCAGAAATCGGGTGCTGCTGCTGCTGGTGCCATTGCTATTGTGGCTGCTGCGTAGAGACGAGTGAAGGAAAGTGGTTTAGGAGCTGGCTTTATTCCACTGGGCATCAAAGTGTGTTGGTGAGTGAGGAAAGCTGCTGTTAGGCCCTGCTGAGATGTGTGAAATTCATCCTGAGGCTGTGAGACTTGTGATGTCTGCCTGAAATAGAGCAGGTTTTGGCAAAAGAAAGAGAAAACAGGTTTCATCAGTTAAATGACATTACAAGGATCTGGATCTCATAATCCCATGAAGAAAATGTCAGACTTGAGCTATATGTCCCCTCTTAGCACTCCAGCTGTCTCCAGATGAGACATCAAGTGATGATACTTGTGTAAGCTCCTCCTGGTTTCAGTGAGCCACTCATTCTCCTTATCCTAAGTAGAATTCATCCTCCCTTTATAATGGAATAAGTTTTTCTTGGGAATTGCCTGTCTCCATAGGCTGATGGAGGAATATAGACAAGGAACTGAAACCATGGCCTGCCTTGCAGGTGACTGCAGTGGAGTCTCATGTTTTCTGAGGTGCAGAAGTGAGCTGGTTCCTGCTGGTGCCATTGGGATTGTTGTGTGGGGGCCTCCCGAATTCCATCACTTTTACAACTCAGGGTCAGCAGATGGAATTCCAGAAGCATTTTCGAAAGTACAACCTCCTGAATCCGAAGTAGGAAAATTCCTGAATCCCATTTTTCAGTATAGTTAGAATGGAAGTGAGTGTGCTGGCAAAAGAGGATGGTTTAGGTGTTTGTCAGGACTATGTTCTCACTCGGTAGGGTGTGGATGCTTAACTACGCTGTGTATTGTGTGTCCTCAGAGATAAAGTGATGGATGTGCTGTACATCTAAAGGATCATCCAGGAAGGGCTGTTGCCTTTTAGTAAGGACATCTTGCTTCTCTCTTGTCTCTGATTAACATTAGATGTTATTACGAATCAGTCCAGGGTAACAAACTGGAGCCCAGGAATTCCACTCCTGGGTGTAGAGGTGTCCTTCATCGTGGGCCTCGTGGCTCACAGGTTGAGCTGGTTTCCATGCAAGGCCACCTTTTCCTTTGTTACATTCAGACTCTGTGTCACCATTCTCCTTTTTCTCTTCATACACGTGTTTGCTGAAGCACTTTGTGACTCACCAGTACACGAATGATACCACCAGCCCCTGTTTCTTGTGACTTTTGCCCATTGTGCTGGGCAAGGGTGACACTGGGAGTCACAGGAGGTGGCTTCAGGGGGAGCTATTCCCTTCTGCTGCCTGCAAAAAGCTGCTCATGAATATATCCTTTAAATGCATGACAAAAGCTTCTTGTCAGCAGAGAGTTACAGCTGCAGCGGGGCTGTCGCACATCTCTTTCCAGCATGGACACTCTTTGTTGGCCAGAGGGGACCAGGCAGTGTAGCTCCAATGGAGGCATCTGTGTGTGATCAGACAAAGCCACCCCTTTCCCATCCCCCCATCTCGTGTCTCCCTAATAACAAATGAGCTGGGGCAGGGATCATTTCTTTCTGGCTTCTGTACATAGTAACAAATAAGGAAAGCTAAACCAGATGCAACTGATTATGGAAAGCTCCAGGCACAAGCAGGACCTCCAGGAAAAGCTCTCATTTAAAACCAACACTTGTATAAAGAATGTACATCAGTATATCTAAGTTTTATAGTGATGACCTACTCCAAAACTTAAAGGAGAAAGTGGCCAATCGAATTAGTTAAGGAATATCTTCCTGGTTTGGTGTTTTGTCCTCTAGATGATATTTTGCACTAACTTGTCATTGTTAGACTGAGGGCCTAAGTCAAACCAGTGAAACATCAGCATTAATAACGTGTCATTAGTAATTTCTGTTGTAGTGCCACAGGTATGACAAATGAAGAAGAAGAAACTCAGACAACCTATTGCTTCTGCAGAGCATCATGTAAAAGACGTCAGGGGACCAGAGAGCTGGTTAGCCAGTAGAAGGTAATTTCTTTTTCTTCTCCCAAACCTAGCAGTAAGTTTCATTTTACTCATAGCCAAGGTTGCAGGGCTCTGATTGCTGGTGAACTCCAACCTAAGTTGCTTTTGACCAAGGTTTATCTTTATATACTAAGAGCAGCCTAGGGCTGTATTTAATGAATGGCAAATAATTAAGCAGAAGGAGACAGAAGCAAGGAGAGAAGAGACAAAATCGTGCAGGAAAGAGACTGACTAACAAGGATGTGCCTTTCTTGAATGGAGCTTGGCAGGAAGTGAGTTTAGGATTCACTTTCTCTGTGCTTGCTTGCATCCGTTGAACACAGAAGACAGGGAAATGAGAGGGAGCTTGGGGAATCAGAGCTGTAAGAGATGCTGAGTTTCACATGTGGTTGATTTCTCAGTCATTTTGTGGAAGGATCTCAGCGACTTTTTCATGGTGGTAAGAAACTCTTCAGCTTCTGAGCATCAGTAATACCAGACATCGCACGGATACTTCAGAATTCCACGACCAGCAGCAGGAACACATCTCAGGTTATGGGAATTACACTGTGATTAATGGTTGGTAGGCACAAAAGGAGCATCAAAATGACCATCCTCTGTCAGGTCACTTGTTCTATTGTCCATGGTATCTCCTTGTAGTGCTTCAGGAGGGCTTCCCATTGCGAAGCAATGATGCAGCGTTGCTGATGATGAGCAGGCGCTGCTCGATCCCTGCAGGTGATCAGGGACGGTCACACAGGGGGTGACACAAGACTGAGTGTGCTTCAGCACCGCTGATTCTTCCTCTCGTGACCCTTTGAAGGATCTCCTTCATGAGGAGGAATGGAAAGTTTTAATGAAGAGTTAAAAATCAAGTTCCAAATCACAAAATCTTGTTTCAAACAGAGTGGAAAAAGAATCTTGAGACTATAACATGCAACTTTTCCGGTGTGAAATGAAGCTGTGGTTTATGAGCAACTTGCTGCCCCCCTCTTTGCAAAGCTGCACCACTAAAGGGGTTTGTAGAATGTCAAGTGCAATTGTCACACACCAGATGCTATCTTTCCACTGTCGCTGTGTGTTTCCAACTCAGTGGCCAATACTACCCTCTCTTCTGGGTGCTCTGACATCCCTCAACATATATAGCGTGCAAACCACAAACACTCCTGCGCCTTTGTCTCGCTGTGGGGTAGACCTTTAACCTGGTCACTGTGTTGGAAATCTCTGTAATCTCCATGCTTTGGTACCTCAGCTTTGAGTTTGATAAAGGAAGACCTGAATATGTTGTGAGTTTTCCTTGCACAGAGTAAGGAAACTGATTCTATGAACTGCAGAAGGATCTTTCTGAAACTGGAGTAGGTGAATGTGAAGTGATGCATGCAAAGAAGAACAGTCTTGGCTTTGTTATAAACTAAGTGGCTGTTCCACTGCTGCTCTGAGTCTTCCTCCTGCACCAAGATGACTTGGAACATAGATTTTAGTCACAGTGTCATTTGCAGCTTGTTGCTCAGGGCAGGAATACAAAATCCCAGCCCCAGGAATATTCTGTCTCTATTCAAATTTCTTTGAATAGACTGATAGGAAACACCCCAACTTGAATTTTGCATTTGGTGCTGATGTTAAGGCATAATGTTGTGAAGCCGGGGAGCTGGGTGTCAGCACAGCCCAGCACCTCTCCTTGGTAACCAACTAGTTCACCTTGTGCTTATGCTGGACAGTGATTGCACCTTGAGCTCTGCTGAGGAACAGCAGAGGTTCTGCCCATGACCCTGCTGCAGAGCCCCCAGCAGCATCTCCTCCCGTGGTGGTACCCGAAGAGATGCCAGACGTGGTGGGACTCTGTGTGGTTTCTGCCATGGGCCATGCTGCAGTGTGGAAGAGCAGTGCACACCCATCACCTCCGATGGTGCCCTGCCTGTCTCTGAAGGCATCTGCCCAATACCTGGGGGTTGTGTTGCATTTCATGCTGCCTGCATGGCCCCAGCTCTCTGCACTGGGAGGGAACAACAGGATATGTGGTGGGCAAGATCACACACGTAGGTCTGGGGATAGAGATATCTCTTAAGCCACAGCCCTCCTCCCTGCCCAGCCTTGCG